AAATTTCTGCAGGAGAAAAATATGAACTTGTAATGTTCTGTAAAACCTTTAAAGTCTAGAAGGATAAAGTACTCCTTTTTGGTTTTAGGCTGTAGCAAAGCAATAATGATTCTATAGGTTATATGTGTGTAAAAATGGTAAAACCATCTTAGATCTATCTCCTAATTTAAAAACTTTGGCATAATGCCACAGTGAGGTCAAATTCATGTTCTTTCTGATAGCCCTGTAGTTCTCTATCCTCTCTCCTCTTTTTCCTTGACTTTCCATCAGACATGCTCAAAAACAAGGACAAGGAAATAGTGGCTCTTGGGCATTTTTCTTAGTTTGCTTTTTGTCCCCCAAAAAGTCAGTGACTGAGATTCCTATCCAGCTCTATCAGCAATTCTCCTAATTTATTATGAGAGGGACACGTTCTTCTACACTGTTGTCTGTCCTTCCTTCCTCACCCCTCTCTGAGTGCTGAGTTGGTTAGGGAATGAAGAACATTTGGCTAGCCCAAGTATTGGGGTGATTAAGTGCCAAAAGACATCTTGGCAAGCCAAAAGCCGGACTGGCTTGCATCTCCTTAATGCTCTCATTTTGAATAGAAGTTGCCTCCTCTTGCTGCTTCTATAATAAAAATGCCAACAGTTGCTCAAGAGCAATTATTACATGCGCAGCTAAGCGGTCTCTGCTGTTTGATTTAAGGAGGGGTGCTTACATTTCTCAGTGGAGCAGAATTGTTTAGCTGGGTTGTGATAAAGCTATCTATTTGCTGTATTGATTTTTGATGTTCTGGTACACTCTGGTTAGTAAGGAGCTCTGAATTTTCTTCCTGAGTCTTTGGGGCAGAATTCCCTTCAATGGTTAGGCAGGGCACTCATGTGGAATGAACTGTCAGCAGGCATTTTAGCTTGGCCCTGTTTAAATCATGGGTAGGGCATTACCTCCCGCACCTAGCTATCATGCCTACTAACTCCTGACTGTGTGTATGCATACTTGAAATACTAGTGGATTTACCATCTTGCATCTCCTATTTGTCACTGAGGAAAGCACCTGGTACTTTTTCAGACAAGAATTCAAGACGGAGCAGATGGTTATGGAGCAGATCATCCTAAGTGCAATCACACAGCATCTACAGGATGGACAAGGGATCAGACCCAGCCAGCAAGGGTTTAGGAGGGGCAGGTCCTGTCTGAGCAATGTGATCTCCTTTTATGATCAGGTGACCCACCTGGTGGATGAGGGGAAGGCTGTGGATGTGGTCTACCTGGACTTCAGCAAAGCCTTTGCCATTGTCTCCCACAGCATACTCCTGGAAAAGCTGCAGCCCATGGCTTGGACAGGGGCACCCTGTGCTGGGTTAGGAACTGGCTGAAGGGCCAGGCCCAGAGAGTGGTGGTGAACAGTGCTGCAAACAGTTGGTGGCTGGTCACTAGTGGTGTCCCCCAGGGATCAGTGTTGGGCCCAGTTCTCTTTAATATCTTTATTGATGATTTAGATAAGGGGATTGTGTCCACCATCAGCAAATTTGCAGATGACACTACGTTGGGGGGGAGGGTCAATCAGCTGGAAGGCAGGAGGGCTCTGCAGAGGGACCTGGACAGGCTGGAGAGCTGGGCTGATTCCAACGGGATGAGGTTCAGCAAGGCCGAGTGCCGGGTCCTGCACTTTGGCCACAACAACCCCATGCAGTGCTACAGGCTGGGGGCAGAGTGGCTGGAGAGCAGCCAGGCAGAAAGGGACCTGGGAGTTTGGATTGACAAGAAGCTGAACATGAGCCATCAGTGTGCCCAGGTGGCCAAGAAGGCCAATGGCATCCTGGCCTGTATCAGGAACAGTGCGGCCAACAGGTGGAGGGAAGTGATTCTTCCCCTGTACTCGGTGCTGGTGAGGCTGCACATGGAGTACTGTGTGCAGTTCTGGGCCCCTCAGTTCAGGAAGGATATTGAGGTGCTGGAGCAGGTCCAGAGGAGAGCAACAAGGCTGGTGAAGGGACTTGAGCACAAGTCCTATGAGGAGGGGCTGAGGGAGCTGGGGTTGTTCAGCCTGGAGAAGAGGAGGCTCAGGGGAGACCTCACCACTCTCTACAACTCCCTGAAAGGAGGTTGTAGCCAGGTGGGGTTTGGTCTCTTCTTCCGGGCAACTATCAGCAAGACAAGAGGGCATGGTCTGAAGCTGTGCCAGGGGAGGTTTAGGTTCGATATTAGGAAGAAATTCTTTACAGAGAGGGTAACCAGGCATTGGAATGGGCTGCCCAGGGAAGTGGTGGATTCTCTGTCCCTGGAGGTTTTTAAAAAGAGACTGGATGTGGCACTTAGTGCCATGGTCTAGTAACCACAGTGGTGTTGGATCAAGGGTTGGATTTGATGATCTCGGAGGTCCCTTCCAACCCAGCTGATTCTATGATGCTATGCTGTGTCAAATGTTCCTGTAATTCAATAGCCAGGCCCTTCATATCTTAGACTCTCTGCTAGACGTGGTGGAAATCTGCAGTCAATTCAGAGGCTCTTATGCATAAGTATAGAAAAGCTCTTGTTGAACTTAATATAAAAATAAACACTAGTCATGAGTGTAGCTGTCTTGCCTTTTCATGCTACAGTAAGGCTGAGTCTTCACACTCTAGCATTCAGTTTGCTACAAGTGGCTTTCAAAGGCACTGTGCAATGAAGGGTATTGAAGATGCTTGTTCAGGCTTTCTTCAAATTCTGGCAGATGCCATGAGAATAGTTTGATTTTTCCTCTGTCTTTTCTAATTTTCTGCATAAGTTCCAAAGATATAAAGTATCTTTTTATTAGAAGAGTAGGTTCTTTTCGTGAGCAGAGTTCTGAGAGAAGGAGGTGAATTCCAGTGATAGAAAGTATGATCTGTTTTCCATGTGTTGAGATGCTCCAGTTGCTGTTCCTGTTGTTTTTGTTTTTGTTTTTTTTTTAAACTTTTCTCTAATTTGTTGTTCCCTTCTTTTTCTTTTTCTTTTTGCATATGTTTATTTTTTCACTAAGCAAAGAGCAGCCCTAAGAGAACTTCCACATGTGGGTGGTAAGCTGTATGGTGAAAGTGAACAGTTTAATTACCAAATCTCTTAAGAAAGGCATGGGGATCTGGCAGCAAGGACTTTTGTATAGAATGTGACCCATAGGCAGCTCAGGAAAGAGAAACAGCTTAAGGCTGAGTGCAGACCTTTTTTTGTTTTGTTTTTCTGGAGTTACTGATCTATGGCATACTTGGTCAATATAGAAAATGGCTATAGGTAATCAAAATCATGACTAAAGGATGAATGGATGATTGATTAACTGGCATCCGTGCTGGAAAACAGCTTTACCTGGCAGGCTGTGGGAGACTTAATTTGGTAGAGAGCTGTTCTAAATGTGACAGTCTTGAGGTAATGTCTTGAGGCACAGTGAGTTTTCCCAGGTCTGAAACTCTGGAGCACCTCCTTTTGTATCTCTGGTCCAGTTTTCAAGGCTTTTTAAGAGAAGGTGGGGCTGTTCATTCTTAAAGGTGGTGACTGGATTTTGAGTTCTTTCTTACAATGGTAATCTCTACATAGAGACATAACATTTAATACTGCTTTTTTTTTTTTTGTTGGGCTTTTTGTTTGTTTGTTTGGTTAGTTGGTGATCTAATCCAGCTACAGAAATCAGCAGGAGTTTGCAGTTGATTTTAAAAGATAGAAGATAAATCCATAAGAGAGCATATTGGCAAATGCTTTTTTGCATTCCTTTCCATCATGAATTGGGAAAAGTAAGGATTTCATTTTACTGGATCTGTCACAAATTGTATACGTGGTATTTTTGTGAAATCCCAGGACAAAAAGGGTTACACTCTGCCATTGGAGAGCTGAGATCCATACAGAACTCCCTTGGAGTCTTGGAGGTTGTAAAATGGTACAAGTTCTGAGTTTTGTAAAGATGAACTTAGTATGGTAGAAAGATATGAAAGCAATACCAAGAGAAATATTGAGCTGACTTTTCTCTAAAACGTGGTATAAACAAAACTCATGACAGTTGAGAAATCTTTTTTTAAATTTTAGTGTATTTTATGTTATTCTGAGACTGAGCCTCCACAGTTGTAGAACTCTGTGCTGCTGCTTGATTTAAGAGGAGCTTGCAGTAGGGGTTGTCAGAGCTATTTGTGTCCAATGATTTTGCCTACTTTCATTGTACTTTGGTCTGGTGTCGTGGGGTATATGTTGATAGGTCTTGGTCCGTGAAGAAAAGAAGACACACACACACAACAGGGTGATGAGACAAAGGGATGTCTGCTGTTTCAGAGAAGCAGCAGCTTTTATTCAGTTCGCTCTGTTCTACTTTCCCACACACACAGTATAAACATATTCTTGCAAAAACACCCAGGAATGCAACACCTGCACACAGTCAAACAGCTTCACCCTTGTACTCCTTAAAACTCAAGGCTGTGTCCATGGGAACATCCAATTAGCCTTACTGTTCTCATGGGAAAAGGCCTAACTCTCTGTAATATTTTAAACTCCTCAAGCCCCACGGATTTCGTGGAGCTGCCACTTCTCCCCACAGTCTGGATACTCAAACTAGAGTGACTGTCCCATACTAAATCGGTATCAAAGCTGCTGTGTATCCTGTTTATACTACATATAAGATTATGATGATCCTGGGATTAAAGCTTTTAATTTCTGCAGTCATGGAATATTTTGTACATATTCTCTTTTTCTGTCCTGACTTGTGTACCACTTGTTCTCTGTCTGTTAGAATCAGGCCTAACATTTGAAACCTTTAAGTAATTTTGGCAACCTGCCTTTAAAAATAAAGTAAGGACAGCTGGTCATAAAAAGGATTTTACTTCCTTCTCACTTGCTTCACTGAAATTTTAAATTTTAAAAAGTTAAAAATCCTTAAGCTCTCGCCAAGATTTGAAGTGTAAGATTCTGACTGTGTGCTTCCCCCTCTATGCTCAATGGGTTGACTAGGAATGCTGTTTATTTCCTTTGACCTATTCTTGTTTTCTTTTCCTCTCTCTTCCTCTCTTTGACTTCCTATTCTAGGATGAGTCATCCATGTTCTTCCAGTTTGGCCCATCAATAGAACAGCAAGCTTCTGTCATGCTCAACATCATGGAAGAATACGACTGGTACATCTTCTCCATTGTCACTACTTACTTCCCCGGTTACCAGGACTTTGTGAACAAGATCCGCAGTACCATTGAGCATAGCTTTGTGGGTTGGGAACTGGAGGAGGTCCTCCTGTTGGACATGTCCCTGGACGATGGGGACTCAAAGATCCAGAACCAGCTCAAGAAGCTTCAAAGCCCTGTTATCCTCCTCTACTGCACAAAAGAAGAGGCCACCTACATTTTTGAGGTGGCCAACTCTGTGGGTCTGACAGGCTATGGTTACACGTGGATCGTGCCCAGCCTGGTGGCAGGGGATACAGACACTGTGCCATCTGAGTTTCCCACTGGGCTCATCTCTGTCTCATATGATGAATGGGACTACGGTCTTCCTGCCAGAGTAAGGGATGGAATAGCCATAATCACCACGGCTGCTTCTGATATGCTGTCTGAACACAGCTTCATCCCTGAGCCCAAGAGCAGCTGTTACAACACCCAGGAGAAAAGGATTTACCAGTCCAACATGCTCAACAGGTAAGGGAAAGAGCTAGCCCAGCCTTACAAAAGAGGGGTCAGAGACAACCTCTGATACCAGCATATTTTTACTAGGTCATGTGGTGCTTTGGGGCAGCAGGTGGTCTTGGCCAGAATGTGGGCAAAGGGAGGTGAGCTGATGGTGGGATCTATGTTGCTGTCTGTCATAAGTGCCAGTATTGTCACCTTCTTAGAAAGCCTCCATACAGCACAGAGGGCAAGTCAGCATGAAGAAAAGGATTATAAAGGCATAGTGCAAAAATTTGAGTGTGCCCCTTGATGCACAAATTTTTGCTTCCATAACAGCACTGAACTTCTTGGAGTACTTTTGCACGAATGCAACTCTCAGGTGAGTTCTTGCTCCAAATAGTGGAAATGTTTATGTTGAAATATAGAAGGCACAAGGTTCTGTTTCAGGCACTAACAGTATGTGAACAGATGTCCTTTATAGGTGATGGTTTTGTAACCTACTGGGAATAGTGTCATGGCACCTGTTGTCTGAAGGCTAAATGTCCTTCTGCTGTCCATTAGCCCTGAATTACAGGCGAGAAGGAAGTACAAACAGAAGTGGAGAACTAGAACTGCCAAAAACGAGTCATCACCTCTGCTCAGTTCCTGCTTTATACTAAGAGTCTTTAAACACCTTGGGCATCTTAAGGATCCAGTTTACCTTAGAGGAGGACTTGTGCTACCACCCTGCTGCTTGGCACCTTGTTGATCATTGTCTACTGGGTGTTTTGGGTCCCATTCTCCTTTGTGTACATTATGCAGAAAGCCTAGTATGTTGATTAGTACAGGAAGTTCTTCAAGATTGAAAATTAAATTAAAAATAGGGAAAACCTGTTTCAATAAACATATTTTGATCCAAATTAAGATTTTCTTAAGAAACAGTGCTAAGATGTCTATTTAAGGACATAGACGAAGCCTGCAGTGGAACAAACTCTAGAACAGCATTCTGATGACTAGATTTTCCTTTTTATCTCAGCTGGAATTTTAGCATGTAGCAAAGCAACACAGATAATTAGATATGGAATCTGCAATTGTCCAGATGTCCCCTGACCTGCTAAGCTGTCATTCTGCAATGTTTTACATATAAAATCCTTGGACATGTTGGACCCTTTGTGGTAGGACTAGGGCAATCCAGGCAGTAGCCATAAGGCCACACAGAGCTCAGCGTCTTTGTTCATTTGTCATGTTGAATCAGTGGAAATGTGATGGATTGGTCTGTGTGCTGTGACCCCTTGCTGTCAACTGTACTAGGCAGATAGAGGAACTGGTGGACAAGGAAGCAAATTTTGCTTTGCCTGAAAACTGGGAACAGAAAGATAACTCTATTCTTTGACCCATTATATTATCCATATTGCTATTTGTTCATTGTCTCTTTGATCCACTGGCATATACGAGGTCTTATTGCCTTTACTTCCTATTCCCTGTGCTGTCTTTTTGCTGTCTACAAGCCTTGGAACCACCTAAGTTGCCCAAAGCTTTTATGAGTTTCCTTCCTAGGCTTAGAAGTAAGTTTTTTTTTCTGCTGCTTGAGTCATGACTGGAATGATTAAGCAGGGAAAATATATGTAATATATACAAAGTTATGAGAAGTAACATCAAGGCAGGCTGTTGTTCTACCTTTCCAAATGAAAAGGGGTTTGGGGGGGAGCTCTATTGTGTCTTTTCAGCAGTTATCTAAAAAACAAGACATTCCCTGCTATGTTATGCAGCGTTCTGCAGAGACCTTCTGCTAATTAGTTTTGTTGACACTCTATTAGCCTGTGCATTAACATCATACCCATACAGCTATACTGCTTCAAGGGCCCAGCATAATCTCTCTGCATAGCACCTTTTTGCATTGTATAGAAGTTGTTAGCTCAGAAACTCTTGAGTCTAGATATGACAGTACTGTTGTGCAGTGTAGATATGCCCTGAAGCCTGGGCACACCAGATGAAAGCAGTTCATGTCACTTTTGAAGATACTAGCTTTCTCCTCACCTTCATGGCCCAAATCATGCTGTTTCTTCTCCCTTGTCTGCTTTGGGTACAGCATTCACAAGAATGAGTGCAAATATGTGTAAATATACCCAACTTCGTTTGGGTACCAGCATCAGACTAGCTGAGAAGCAGAGTCAATTAGTCCATGCCAAACTCTGTTCTGCCACTGTGTAGATTGCTGCAGGCACTTGGGCTAACTCAGAGATAATTACACTGTTTTCCAGTTGCTTGTGACCACAGTGCAAATATTTACATTGCCTCCCATGGTGCTGGCCTGTGCAGGGGTTCTGCCCACCCCCCCCACACCCCCACTTGCCCATGTTTCCACCCTCTCTGTATTTCTGAGTGAGATGGTTAAAAAGTTTGACTTTAGTGATAGGGTGCTTAATGTTTTTATTTAAATCAAATTACTTTCAGGCACCTTTTGAAGTTTAAAATCTAGTGGTGTCTGAAATAAGCCATAGATTTTACAAATCCAAGGGGTCAGTAGAAATCTAATGGCTTCAAGCTCAGCCTCACAGTCGAGTCTGGGCAGGTGGAGAGGTAGAGGAGAAGCACAAGATGTGGAAAGAGGCAGACGTGAATATGTGAGTTCACTGTATTGAACCAAAACCCATAGAGATTAATGGCTGTAATCTGTGTTCATACCTTCAAGTAACCATTGAACATGCTGGAATTTACTAAGTGCTAAGCTTTAAACCTCTCCTGATATGCTTTGTCTATCTGAGGTCTTTAAATTTCTCCTGAAATGCTTTGTCTATCTGGGGTATTACAGATTCTACAGACCCAGCTGCTTCATACTTTCCCTAACCCCTTCTGCCCACTAAGATCCCATAGCACTTGTGCATTGTGCATACCAGGCAGCAGCAATACCTGCATGTCTGGAACATGTTTTGACTCACTTTGGACAGGACTGGAGGGTTCTGGAGAGCTAATTTTAGTCTTGCTCTGGACCCAGCAATACTATATTCAGCCATCTGCAACTTACAGTTCCCTCTCTGCATGCCTACAAAGAATAGAGAAATGCATGGCACATTGGCCTTGATGTCTGTGGAGTGTATATGTATGCGACCTCAGATAATGCATCACCATGTAGCTAGTGTTTCAGAAACTCTTGAAGCTAATCCAAAGCAGTTCAATTTGCTTCAAATCCATAGCTGGGGAGGCAGTGCGATAAAAGGATTTTCCCATTTTATTCTTTGGAGAGTAAGACAACCAACTAAAAAAATGCATACTTTAGTTCAGCTGGGGCACCTTATACACTAAGACTGTGAATCAGTAGTTTCCCAAGATCTGCCTTTGAACTTTGTCCATTTATTACTTTTTTTCTCCTCTTTCTGAGACAGCAGTAGTTCTGAATGCAGCTAGAATCAAATGGTCTTTCTCAACATGGTGTTGGTCATTGATCTGGGTATACAATGGAGTAAGGAGAAGATGAACTGAGTGTTACTCAGATTCTTCATATCTTTCTTCCTTCTTACACTGACACTTGTTCATTTTTGCAAGAACTTGTGCAAACAAAGTTTTGTTTGAAGTATGGCTGCAAGTACAAAAAGAAACAAGACAGATTGTTATCTAAATGCCATTTCTTGACAATGTAGGTGTTTGGTCTGCATCGTATCACTAATGGTCTCACAGCAACTGTTTCTTGTCTGTCTTGAAACTGGTTCTCTTTTGTGTTAGACTGGAACTGCAGAAGTAGGATCACGACCATTGAATATTGCGGATTTTGTCCAGTAAATGAATGTGCTGACGAGATAACTCCACTAAAGAGTAGTAAAATGATACTTTGAGAAAGGTTTGTTCTACAAGATTTGTTATTTTTCTTTTTGAATGATTCTTGAGGAATTTTTCCTCTAGTGACGGATTTATCTCAATTTATTCTGATAATAGGCTTAGGTGGTGATTTAGAGTCCAAATATCCAAATGCGTTTCCCAGTTCAATTACAGTCTTTAATTCTTTGTTTTGTTTGTAATAATTACCTATTCATATATTCCTTCGTTGTCCCAGGAAGAAATCTGGTCTGAATATTCCAGCCTACCAAGTTTATAGTTATCTCAATATCTGGTCTTCTTCTGTGCACCCAGTAAAACACTGCGTGCTCTTCTCTTTTCTATTGGATCACAAAGGTTGGGAAGGAGTTTCTAACAGGGTTTTCCTCTGGAGAAACGCTCAGATGAGGAGTTCTTACTTCTTGACCCTTCCTAGGAGAGTTGCTAGGCTCCTAGGCATCCTGCAAAGGTCATCTTTCCTCCCTTCACCATGGCTGCTGAGGAGTGAGTGGGCAGAGGTGGATGTGTTTAGAGGCAGCCTTCTGCTTATTTCGTTATTTTAATTGATGGAACAGATTTTCTTGAGCTCTGGATTGGTGCTTTTCATTACATTTTAGAAATGGGAAGAAATAACTAAATGACAGGAGCGTTCTTGGGAGTGGAATTCAGAGATGAGTCATGAGAAAAGAATATAATTTTTGGCACATATTTGAGGAATAGAAGCTCAGCTGTTTTGTATGGATATTCACAGTCATTGGGCTATATAAGCTGTGTTTTTATTATAGCCTTCAATGAGACCTTGGTTCTTCCTACTGGTTGTCATGGCTGCTTGTGAATGCTGGACCATAACTACTAGTTTGTTGTTGTAGGGTTACTAATGAGTTCTCCACTGATTGGCTTTAATAGTCTCTCATTTAACACCAGGCTGCACACACAAGATTTCATTTTAATAAAAAGTGCAGTGGAGCATTTGCTTTGGAATTAAAATACAAATGTGGAATTATACCAGCTTTGCAAAGAAATACTTTTAGAGGGGAACAAAGTTAGTTCAATTCTGTACCTCAGATTCCTCAAATATGAAAACAGCTGGCAAGCTAGCGCAGTGCATTGTTTGGACATGATACTTCCACTTTGGGGGAAATAACTTTCACCTGAAAAGATGCCAAACAGTTAGGAAATGCAAAAGAGCCTTTGATGAGTGGTTGGAAACTGTTTTCCCTGGAACAACCAGGGCAAACTCT